TCTGTCCGAAAAATAATTCACTCAAAATACAAAACCTTTATAAAGGAACACTGAACACCTTTAAAAATAGATTATTATCTTTTTTAATTAATGATTTTATGATCGAATCTAAATTTAGTGGAACACAAATGAATGGAATGTGCCAATGTCTTCGAATGGCAATTCGTATGTACACTTTTTCACATTACACGATTATTCATAACGTAGGATGCAGTCCAAAAGTGGTAAGGGGTCAAATGTATTCTCAAAATAAAAAATGATGAAACAAATATTAGAAGAAATAAAAACAGCAAAATCAATAACGGTTGCTCTTGATTCTTCAACTAAAAAAGGAGTTGAAATATTTTCTGTTTTTTGAGGTATTTTTACAACGGACAAGTAAACTGTTTTCCTGTAATAATTAAACAATACAATCACAAAACAAACGGAATTTCAATAGCAAATTGGGTTTTCCGCCATTTGAAAAAAATGGGAATTCCTCTTCAAAATATCTGTCAGTGTGCTACCGATGGTGGTAAAAAATTAACTTCAATAAATAATGGATTTGTTGCACACTTTTTAAACAAATTGAGGGAAGAACAAATGTGTTTGGGGGAAGTCGACAAACATTTTAAATTTACTTGGTGTTTTGCCCACAGAACAGCACTAACGGGAACATGTGTTAATAAATATAACGACGCATTATTAGTTACATTATTTGTAAAGTGGTTTTGTTCAGGTAGAACACTCAAAAAAATTTACAAAGAAAATAAACAAAATGAAAAAATGAAAAAAAATGAAAACAGCATGCGAAACGAGGTGGCTTTATCTTTCCGATAATTTGGGTGAAATTGAATCTGAATATAAAGAAATTGAAAGGTTTAGTGAAAGTTTTCAAAACAGATTAAACATGAAGCATTTTTCTTCAAAAAGTTATTAAAATATAAAAAACAATTTCCAACACAAAAAGATATCAATAATGCAATTGATCATTTCCATTTGGGAAATGAAGTTGTCAAACAAACGTTTTGTGTTATGAGAGGAATTTTAGGGTTGTTGAGACAATTTTCAGATTCTTTGCAAGAACAAAATAGTTTGATTTATGTACAATGGGAAAGAATTCAAATGTTTAAAGTTTTTTTAAAAAGTGTTTTGGAAAAAGTTGTTGAGCCGGACTATGAATACTCTGATTTTGAATGTTTAAAAGGTAAGACAAATGTTTATAAAAAATACATTAAAAAACTATTGGAAATGATTATTGATGATTTTAATCTTCGCTTTAAAACAGTTTCCAGGTCTGAAGACATGATAGAAATTATGAAAAATAAAAAGTTGGAAAAAGAAAAGGTGATAATTGATGACAACGAAAGTAATAAAAATGACAACAAAAAAATAAATGAAATAACAGAAAAAACAACAGAAAAAACTTCGATGGAAAAAGAGACAGAAAAACAAAGAAAATATAAAATAAATGAGAAGAAATTGAAAGAAAAAAGTTGATTTGGAAGGTTATATGTATATGTTCAACCTCCCTCAACTTATTGTTGACAAGTGGAATATTGAAATACCAAAAGAGTTTACTTATTTAAATAAAGAAGTCGCTATAATCACAAATATACTATGTAATACCAATATATTGATTGATAAAGAACTAAACAATGTTGTACCAGTTTTCAACTATCACAAGGACCTGAGAGAAAAAACTGGTTATCATCATAAACTTACATTATTGGACATTTATCAGATTCTCCCATCAAGTTTGCGTCTTGTTGTTGAGGATTTGGTAACAATGTTTCCAACAACTGTTGTTGTTGAAAGGAGTTTTTCGCAAATACGAACAACTACACACCAAAACATGGATTTATGTGGAGTGTTTTCCAGAATTTTCTATTCAAGTGTAAACCACCAGATCATTATAAGTCTACCCCAACTTTGAAAAATTCTTTTTAAAAAGTGTAATAAATAACAATTTGATTACATTTTCGCACTTTTCACATTTATTTATATGTCATGTTAAAAAACGTATTGATTTTGATACTTTATTTGAATTTTTGTAAATGGGGCTAGAAGAAAAATAAAAACTACTTTGTCATTAATTCGAACAACGACGTGTTAAACTATTTTAATATTAATGATGAGCAAATTGTGGTTTAAATTTCAAAATAATATTTAAATGTATGAATGTTATGTGAATTAATTACCAAATGATTTATTTTTTTTCTTTTTTTGTGATTTAAATCAAATTAATAAAAATAAAACATTTTATAAATAGTTTAAAACTGAAATGTTTTTTGAAACAATTCGTATTTTTAATTTTTAATATATTTATAAATAGTTGAACTGTTTGAACTTTATTATAAATATAAAAAAACGAACAAAAATAAAATAGTAAAATAAAATTTGTAAGTTTTTTTCTTTGCCTCTTTTGGTAATTTATATTTAAATATTAGATCCATCTCAATTTATCTCCTGATTTGCCTGAATTAAGGTTCACACATTTTTATTTTATGTAAAAAAACATTTTTGTTTTTTTGAAAATTTCATCTTATATTTTTCAAAAACGCCGTACTGTGCTCATAACATTTAGCACATTTCCCGTTTTTCTTGACATAATTCATTAATTATTTCAATAAAATTTTTAAAAAATAGCAGAAAAACAAATCCAAAAGTCCGATACGTCGGACTTTGTGTCCGGAGTTTAGCATTTCAAGATTTTGTAAATCACAATTAGTTGTAAAAATAAAAATATTTAGCAAAAAAATACTTTAGTGTTAAACAAAGAGCAAATAACAAAGAATTGGTGAACTGTTGCCTACCCTATTTGATATCATATATTAATTATAATAACAGTGTATAAATAATAAAGTAAACAATGGTATGGTTTCAATTATATCAATGTCGAACGCTGACTTTGTGCTAATGTGAACCGAGTGATGCGGAGTATTGAATAGAAAGCTCAAGAAGACGTACTCAAACAACCCGTTTGTGCACCCGCTTTACCCACTTTTTATTCCCCCGTCAAAAATCACCCGCTTGCGGGAAAATGACATCTACGTCTACCCAGTACAAACAAAAAAAATGGTTGAAATAAGGTGTACAAACAGAAGCTGAAGCTGGTGTTAACACAAAATAATAAAGATATTATTATTAATATAATACAGTAAAACATTTCATTAGTGGATAT